ATATCATCAAGCATATCGCCATGGTGAAATATAAAAGAAAAGAAACCAAAAAAGAAAGTGATCAATTTTTTGTCATTTTGGCCTTCTTTATTTATCAGTATCCGCGTCTATTTTTATTTGTAATTCGGGCGAACGCGTATTATTTCTATTATGTCCATTATTTTTGGGCGTGATATAATAATATTACTATGCGAGATTCGCGATGACGCGTTAGCAAATAACGATCGATCCGTCACATTTTTAACTTAGATGGTGGAAATATGATAGGCTATTGTTGATAAGAGAATGAAAACATGAAGTAACAGCGACAAACATCCATATTGTTTCATACATTTACATTAATTTTGTATTCTTCGTTTATTACCACCATTAGGATAGGAGAGTACACAAGTTTATAAATGTTAAGCCAATGACGTAATATGTATTTTCAACTAATATTACACAGACAATCGAATCAATTATGTGAAATTGTTAGCCAATTAAAGATTCGTGCACGATGTCCGTTCCTTATTCCCGATCCAAAATGTATTAAATATCAGAGAATGAGTATATTGATATTCAGTTCACAAATTTTGATTGTGATTGGATAAATACACAAATGTCAGATGATGATGATGCTGACAATGATGAGAAGAAAATTTTTTGTATTAAATATATATATATATATATATAATATTAATATTAATATTAATATTAATATATCAATTTAAATATAATGTTGATATATAAATTTACTTTTCTGTGCATGCAAAATATGCAAAATGTGTGTATTTATTAAAAGTAAAAATTTCTTTTTTTTAACGTTAAATTTTAAGTATTCAAGACATATGTACATGTCTATATGGACGTGTTACTTGATAAGAATTGTTTGAGAGATTTCGAAAGGATTGTTGACACGTGATAGGTTACTATTCGGATTCGCGAGGTCAAAGCAAAAGAAGAACGAATCTCGGAAATCTTGGAAATCTTCAATTTTTAATTTAGAACGCGTGTCTAGAATTTGGGAGTGTGAAAGTGTTAAGTGAGTGAATGTAGGTGATCGATCTTTTAAAAAAAGGTTAAAACATTAAACTGTGACGCGTAACTTGCCTCAAACACGCAAATAGAGGCCCTTCTGGGCCTTATCGTTGTAGATCAAGACAAACAATACATAATTGTCTAATAATCACTGGCACTGTAACTTATTTTGTTTTAGTTAGTTTCCAATATAAGGATTACATTAATTTATCGTTGTAATCATAATGTTAACAAATACTCATGCTGAAAACCATTAGATTGAGAATTTACGGGCTTTGTTCGCTCATAAATATTCTCATCAAGCCTAAATACGTAATCTCTTAAGTTCGACGATATGCATGACGTATTTGTGGCACTTCGTTTTCTCTTTATAGAAGTATCCGATGTTTACATGTATATTTTCTCTTCCCTGAGTTGGAAGTCCGTCGGATAATGGTGACTTCACTAAAAAATAATTCACACACGTGTTCCCAAAAACATTGCATTATCAATTGATACATCTGTCAAGTTAAGGAGATTATTTGAGATAACGAAAAAAAAAATATTACTAATCCCGAAAAGTCAAAAAGGGCTAAAGTAACTTCATCCTGAAGATTGGGCAGTGACTGAAAAAAAAAAGTTCTGGATTCATGGGTTTTTGATTAATTTACAAATTACTAATATTTGAAAATTTGAAACCTGGAATAGTCTAAAACAAAAAAAATTGCCAAGAACTTTTCAAAAATGCAAATGTATCGCGTGTGCATATTATTTACATGTTGAATGGGATTGAATTAATTTCAGATTAAAGGTTAAGCCTAGATTAAAATTTTAAATAATATGACATTTTGTGAATCATTGAGGTGACCTTGCGCATTGTGTTTGCGCAGTGTGAAACATCTACAAATGATGTCATTGCTACTCAGCATGTATATTTATATTTTTATCTATTCAGATGTTTGTGTAATGAATAAAAATTTTCCAAATATTCCTTCTAGACTCTGGACAAGTGAACACTGCATAATGTTTGGCGGTATTGTTTGAGACTGGAAAAACAAACATCTTAATATAAAAATTTTTAATATAAAGTAATACAAGCGTGTGTATCTATGCGTAAATCGACTAATAAACCACTTTGGCTTATCTTATTAAAATCAATTTTGATGATGATAAAGAAAGAAGATAATAACTATCACGAAAAATCCACTTCTTTATCACGAGATGATTGAAATAAATTCGCAATTATTTATGAGAGATATTGAGATATTGATAAAAATAAACCGTTGTTTTTTATTTTGTTTTGATGATGATGATGATGATGGCAGTTACACAACCTAAGAATTTTTCCGGTACATTGAAAAAAAAAGAAGGTTTATTGGATATAATAAGTTTAGCCTTTTTTTAATTTTTGATGTCATCATCAACAGGTGCAGGTGTTAAATTTATGGGGGATAATTTTTCATTTAGGCAATAATTGTGGCACGCGTTGATTTTCTTAGTGGATTATTACGGAATTTTCGTAACCATTGAATTTCGTGACCAGCGAATCACCGAAAGACGCGAGATGATGAAAATAATTAATAATTAGAAGATGCATAGATAATGAAACTTGCCATTGATTTATTTCATTAAATTATTGTGTGATTTTGGAATAGACGAAAACATATCTCTCATATCTCTATTTTATTATTGTAAGCTTGATTTATTAAGAGTAACTATTAGATTAGATGAATTAACGTTGAATTTCAACATAAAAGATCTACCAAGGTTAATTAACTACCCCAATTTAATATAGCGGTAGGGAATCTAGAAAGAATTCAATTTCCACCTTCCTTCCCGTGGATAATTTATGCTTCAACATGAATAAAAAAAGGTAAATCCGATAGATAAGAAGATTATTGTCAAATAAAGAGATTTTATGTTTTATGGTTTGCTTTTTTTTGCACACGGCGCACGTGTCTCTTAATGAATAATCATTTTATGTGCACGCAACTTTCGGTTTCTTCGAAGGGTGCCTCGGCGAATCGCGATACTATTTTTACAATGAGGATGTCAACTAGTCAAGATTCTAGACCGTCCCATTTTAAACTATCCTATAGGCTTTATCTTACGTCGTTGAAAAATGACATCATAAAACAATAACAAAAACAACAAATATTTTGTAGACAAGGACACTAACCGTGAATGCGTAATCTGTATTATATACATATGGGTATTAATTAATATATACACCATATATATTAATATTTTTGATATATATATATTATATATATATAAATATATATTAATATATCAATATAAAGTCATAAATTAGAGTTAACGAATCGACGAATTTCGTCTTATTCCCAGCAATATCATCAGAATGACAATATTTTAAAAGGCGCAAGAGTATATAAGATAAACTAAAGGTTAGCAAGCACGAGCACAAAATCGGAATTTTATAAAATGACGACTATTCTTTTTGAGTCGTCTCTATTGAATGGGTTGTATAAACGGATGCCAAAAGTTGTGAGCAGAGTTCTTCTCTTAATGTTGGAGGAAATTACCACAACAAACAACAAATAAAGCAATAACGATAAATTAATAATTCGTCATACTAATAACTTACAGTTTACGTACACAGAAATATCGTGTAAGTAAATACACGTCGGCCCTTTTGATTTTCTCTATTGGTCATGTCAATTTTCTTGTTCTCATATGAATGCAATGGAGATTGTATTATATAACGAGCTAATAATAAAGATAGAACCAAAATAATAATAATAAAAACGTCAATCAATACTTTTTTACGGTTATTGTTCATTCAAAGAATATAATATATTTGATATACCTATGTATTATATATATTTTTTATATCTAATAATACATATTATAATATAATACATAAATATATAGAAAAGATTCGTTATTTTGAATCGCGTGTACTTTTATCGTTTAATTATGCCACAGATGGACTATGCCCAGCAATGCCCCACATTTTTTTACCAAACACAGAATTGAGACACAGAACTGAGACACTACGCGATCCCCCAAAGTTAGAACCCTCAATTAATTTTTTTTTCCAAAATCACGAGGATCCCCTTAACTCCTTAGCACACCCCACTTTCTCACGGTTTTAACAACATATAAAGAGTGTGTCTATCTGACTTTGCTTTGTTTCTATGGTGAAGACGAGTTTTTTGTGAAAGAAAATAATCGTTTTTTTGTCTTTTCGTAATCTAAAATTTAATTACAAAGATTTGTATTAAATTATTATTTTTACAATAATAAAATAAATATAATATAATTTATATATACCAACAATAATCATTGATTGGTTGCAATCGACAATCTTTCTTCTTTCATATACCTTTCTTCCCCTAGAAATCCAGCTATATAATAACAAATATATTAAATTCGTCACTATAAAATTATCTTCCCGAAATCTGCATACACTTTTCTCCGGTTATCGACATTATCATTACTATATAAATTCACACAACGCCTGCAAAAAAATTCCTCCACGCAAGTAACAGAAACTATTGAAAAAAATATTCTTGCTTTGCACATTCTTAAATTTTTTTTTAACACTAATAAACAATTAATATTAATAATCTTATTTATTATTAATATTGACACACATTCACATTTACTCGAAATAGATATATAAAATCAATATATATATGTAGCGTGTTGTATATTAATAATTTCGTTTGTTCAATCAATAACATCAGTAATTTTTCCTAGAGAAAGACACCTGCTCACTTTTTTTTCTCGTTAATTAAACTCACATTTGGCATAGTTCTGCATTACATAATTCTTATATTAAAATATTGTCCTCGACGTTTTTTCTATTTGAAAGATCATTTCTACCACTATTATTATTATTATTATTTACTATCACAATTTCTTTGAGAACAAACAATAAAAAAGAACTTGCCTTGAAAATTAATTACACATTCTCTTTCAAGTCGTTTATTTTTACTTTCTCATTCGCACATACACAATAAATACATAATAAAGAAATGAGTGTAGGCGTATGCAATTCACCAAAATTTGAAATGTCAAACGAGACCTCCTATTTTGGCAATATACACCATATGCCAGGTTCATACATACCAACGCCAGCTGCTGATAGTAGTTGTTCGCCCGGTTATTTCGACCTTAATCCCAAGAGAAACTCTACTGCTCAAACTCCTTTCTTTGACGCTGTAAAACCACATTCGCCAGGTCAAACTCCTTTCTTTGATTGCGAAACTATGACCTCGCCTTTCTTTGAGCACTTACAATTACAGCATGGTATTCGGCTTAGTCATGACCCCAGTAATACTAAAAATAATAATAATCCAAGTGTTCCAAATAATCAAACAGAACAACAACAATCATCAGCGTCGGCGTCAATGAATTCAAATGTAAAAACCCCAGGATTTTCCATACAATTACCCCCAAATTCTTTTCAAAGCGGGATGATTACTCCTACCTGGGTTTCAAATGGTGCTTTTCGTGCTACGCTATCACCAAAAGTTCAAAGGGCTTCTTCAACAAAGCGTCCCTCGATATCTAATCTAACTCCGTTGTCATCATCTTCCAAATTGATCTTTGAAACCTTTACCGTCGATTCACTCGCTGATTTGGTGAAAAGATGCGAGTCTAATTCACAAAATAAAAATGATTACTTGGTGTTATTATTGGATTTAAGATCTTTTTCGAATTTCACTGCTGATCGAATAAAGACTGCTCTGAATATTTGTATTCCAAGTACGTTATTAAAGCGTTGTTCTTTTTCCCCCGAGAAAATAATGGAAACATTAGTCAGTGATTATGACAAAGATATTTTCAAAAACTGGTCAAAGTATCAAAACATTGTATTGTATGATAATGATTTGGACATAATATCCGAAAATTGTCCAATATTTCATGTCTGCAAAAAGTTTAAAAAAGAAAATTGTAGTGCTAAAATTGGTTGGTTAAAAGGTACGTCTTACATAATTAATTATTTGATTACCTTAAAAATACCATGTGGCTTTAAATAATTATTTTCCGTTAGGCGGTTTTCGTGCTTTTTCGGTAAAATATCCAGAATTGTGTGAACAAGCTTTAATAAACACCAATTCAAAACCGTCAACTACTTTACCACGCCGTAAAGGCTTAAATGAATCATCGCGTAGATTAGGACCATTCACATGTCCAACGCCAATCATCGAAGTTGCTGGTGTGAATCCATTCTTCTCTAATATTCGACAAAACTATGAATTAAGCGTCGGTATCACTGAGACCATACCTATCCGTCTACCTGAGGGGAACACTTTTGATCAAACAAAGATTCCCGAATTTATGAACAGTTTAATATATGGCGAAAATGGACGAAATAAATTAGCTCAAATATTTCACGTTAGTATCTAAATTATGAATTTTATATTTACATTATAAATCAACAAAATAACCCTCCTTAATCAAATAGGATATTGAGTTGACGGAGCAAAAACGATTACAGTCTTTGATGCTACATAATGCAAATCAAGCAACCGCTGATTGTCCATTCAGCATTAGTGCAGGGATGGAAAAAGGTGCCAAAAATCGATACCATAATATTTGGCCATATGATCATGCCCGTGTTAAATTAATTCAACCCGGAGAAGGTGGATGTGATTATGTGAACGCAAGTTTCGTACAAGCTAAAGGCTGTGATACTCGGTATATTGCAACACAGGGTCCTTTACCTGCAACCTATGATGACTTTTGGCGTGTCATCTGGGAACAAAATTCTCGAGTGATCGTGATGCTAACCAAAGAAGAAGAAGCGGGCAGAGTATGTATTAACAATATTCATCAGCATGAAAATATGAACTCTCGCTAATATTATTACATTTCAATTAATAGATTCAATGTCATCGATATTGGGCTCAATGTACAAAAACACCATGTCAGTTTGGTTCTCTGAGTTGCATACTTATATCAGAAACTAATCCATTGGTTACTGCGGATGGTAAACCTGATGCCTCAATAATAGTCCGTAAATTCCAAATCCAAAATACAACAGAGCCATCCGCATCACCTAGGGAAATTACACAAATACATTTTCTTGGATGGCCTGATTTCGGTATTCCAGAATCACCATGTCAAATTCTTAAATTAATAGATGCTGCCAATGAAATTCAATCACAAGCTGCTCAATCATGTACACCATCGTCACAAGCAATCGGTCCAATGGTGGTTCATTGTTCGGCTGGTTGCGGGCGAACAGGGGCATTTTGTACAATCGACTCGGTTCTAACACAATTGAAAAACGCCGAAGCAACAGGTCAAAAAATCGATCTTTCTATTGATATAATAAAATCTGCAGTTGAAAGTTTTCGAGAACAACGATTAAGCATGGTTCAGTCACTGAGACAGTTCGTCTTTTGTTATGAGGCTGTATTATGGAAACTTCTTAGTGCAGCATAAATAAAAAACATTTTTTTTTCCAAAAAAATAAATTGTCATTAATCACGATACATTCGATGTTCTTAAAGTCAGAATCGTAATTGTGAGTAACAACAACAAATAATACAAGTGTTTTCACTTCTCGGAGATGTTATGAAGGTGGTTAGGAGATGATGTTGCTTTTTCAAATACAAGGTGGACAATAATAACGCATTTATTGCCATCATTATATTTGAGTTCCCTATCCAACACTTATAAAATGAATAAAAAAATAAAAAGTACATCTTTTATGTTTGCGTATGTGCATACAAATTAAAGTGTACTTTATTTGATTTTTTTATATACAGTATATGGTTTTCCCTTTATTTGCGCGAGTGCTTTCTTTTTCTTTAAGAGATAGAACAACCCTTTTGTAAAAACGAATCAACAACCCTATGTCACATATATCCTTAATTTTTTTATATGCGAGATCTTTCTTACCCTTTTTCGATGAATTTATTAAAAAAAATTTCTATTATATGGAAAAGGATTTTATTTCCTACACGTAATCTTATTGTGGTTTTCACACCTCTTCTAAGATACATATACACTTACACATTTCATATTAGAGCAACTGATGTATGCACAAATATGATTTAGAAAAGATTCTCTGCATCACGTGCATTATACGTGATGTTCTGACTCGCAAAATAACAACACACTTAAAAAAATTTCTCCTTTTGTAAATAGTTTTCCCTCTTTATTTTCTATTACTGTTAAATAAAAAAATACATTACATGATTCAAACTATCTATTGGATTATGAAATTTGTTGAATGACAAGTGCAGCTTATGAAAATAATAACTAAAATGGATCATTTTCAATAAAACGTGTTATCATCTCTAATGATGCAATCTGTTGAAAAAAATTGTTTAATCCAAATATCTATAGCATGTAAAAAATGAAATAAAAATAACTTACTGGTTGATCTAGGGGAATATAATGACCAGATTGCAGGAATATAATCCTGGAAAGGTTTCTTGATTGTGTAGAGTAACCAACCACGTTGTCATCTATACGCCAAATCTAAACATTATTAAATAAATTTTAATTTTGTCTTTAAATATTAAGAAACCTAACAAATATACTAAAAATTCAAACCTTGCGTGGCTTTTTCCTAAAGATTTCAGCACCTTTAAATTCTAATGAATACAACCATTCGCTATTTCCAACAACCCCATCACGAAAATCCATGTTCCCTTGAAAGAGCACCACTTTATAATTTTCTATTAGCATAGGAAACAGGTGCGCAGTAGATTTCATAATATCACCCTATCAAAGAAAGTAACTAGAATTTAATAAAAATCTCTCGTTTGAAGATTCTAATAATTCGTCTCTTATCTTGCCTTGAGAAATTCGAGAACTGAGGCATCTTTATAATATCGCCGATTGCCAACATTGACGGCTTTCTTGATTTCCGGTATATTAAGAAATCGTTCCATCAAACTCCAATCATTCTGCATTTTGGTTCTTCGAATATCATAATAATTCATGATCCCGGTAACATTTTGCCAATATCCAAACATTCTATTTCGAATTTCTCTAGCTCCTAAGAAATCATTTTTCTGAATTTGAATAACGACCTGTGCAGCTAGTTGATTTATATGGTCTGCATCGCTTCTTGAAACAAGCCCTAATAAAGAATTTTATACTAAATTCGATTGTATAAAGACTAAAAAATTTGGATAAAGATTCTTATTTTAAAATACCAAACTGATAGGCTTGTTCTCCGAGAACTTTGACTTGAGTAATTGGATCAGTCAATCCACTGCCTGAATATTAAAAAATATTTTAATAAAAAGGCCAAACAATTAGAGTCATAAATATTACAAGTATTTATTTACCTATAGCGATACCGGCAAGCGGAAAGATATCTCCATATTTTCTATCTATGATTGGAAAAAAATATATATATGAACAATCTAAATATTTATATTATAAAAAATACCACATACATTGCCGTAAATAAGTATTATGTTTATGAATGGCGGTAGCAAATGAAGGTACATATTTGCCTGCGTAACTTTCACCTAGGACACAATAATAAAATGATACATATTAGAAATCCCATTTTCAAGCCAGGAATGAAATTTTGCCCCTGAAATGATTCACCAACTTAGTTCCCCTATGAGCGATCAAACCCGACTAGATGAGCAGATTGTAGCTCGAAGTCGGGAACTCGATCCGTGATAAAGCGAACCAACTCCACCTATCCAACTTTGTTTTGCTCCTCTCGAGAAAAATATATTTTGCTTACCGGCTATATACAATTCACCAAGCTTCTGTTCTGGATAACGTTGATAGAATTTTTGTAAGAACACTAACAAGTCTTTTGAAATTCCTTTTTGATTACTGGCATATCCTTCCATATAGCAAGGATCATCATTTTTTGTGTGATGAGATTTACGAGAAATGAAAAAAGACTCTATTTTACGAATAATAGTTTGTTCAAGGCTTGTAGATTTTTTATGTTTCCAATGATTTCCGTCATTTTCCCCTTGACATTGATAAACGTGTGAACTTTCAGCATCTGTTAAAATTGTTTGGCATGGAGGGTCTACAAAAGAGTATCCAGTTCCGACTGGTTGATCAATAAATAGCATTCCATAATTTTTATTCCATGTATGCGAATTTCTTATTAGTTTCATATCTGATGTGACATTAAATGGACCCATCTGTAATTTATTGATTATATGATCAGCAAAGATTAAATGTTGGAATAATGCATCATAAGATACCTCATTGAATAATCCGATCATAGAGCTCGATCCTGGACCACCTTGAAGCCATCTGTATTAATATTAATGACTTTAGTTAGTATGGCCAAAAATATAATCAATGATACTTGCATTATCAATGGGGGATTTTCACGTAATGGTTTCTGCGCTGGGAAGAACCAATAAAACCTTGTATAAATTAATATCGATATTAAGATTTATTTCTTTAAATTTTTGAAATTTTGATATATTATTTACAAGCTTGCGTTTCCTTTTTTTTGAAAAGCTTCAAAAGAACGTATATGAATATAGCCGGCATAGTGCCTTTCGAGTGGCAACTCCCCATTTGCCCAAGGTAAGTCACCGACTCTATGCTCTTCACTGTCATATTGGTCCGCAATTTCCGCTTGTTTTATCAAAAAATCGGAAAAAGCAAGGTCTTCTTTTTCCAAGTTTTTAATATTGGGTTTAGCGGTTGCTTCTAAAGCCAGCAATATTAAACAAAGAAGAAGATAACTTTTTCTATACATTTTTTCAAAGTAAGGTCTACAGTATCTACGATGAAAAACATGTATTTAAATGATAGCGCGAATTATGAAACACTCCCATGACTATGTATTAAGGCAAAGAAACGAGTTTTTATGTAAGACAGGGAGAAAATAATCGCTCTTGTATTCATTTTACTATTACGATTAGCGTTAGTAAGTGAATGTTATCGCTATTTACCGATTGGAATGAATGAACAATGTTTTTTGGTTTAATAAGCCTGATTTTATTTAATGTTTAACTTTTTTTGAATATCCAAATCATGCGTGAATTAAATGAAATAAAATCATTTCTATTACTTTAAAACAAGATATCACAAATTTAAAATAAAGAAAGGATTCAACTTAAGTTTATAAAGGGTGTCCCTCTTGAATTTCCTGGAGATTCCGTGCCCGTAAAGGTGTATCCGCGAACAATGCGCATATTAGATTTCCCAATTCGGTAGTTTTGAATCCAGTCAATTCTGCATTGCGGAATCGATTCATGATTTCCGCAAGTGAAAGATTAAGAATATCCGTCAAGTGGCGGTATTTCTCCCAGTTTTTAACGTGCATATTAATTTTGTGTTGCTAGATAATCCAATTTCATGAAATTAATCCAAATATATAAACCATTAATTTAATATTCAAGAAAAAAAGAACGTGCAAATCAAGTTAAATTATAGCTTACTCCTATTTTGGGAAATAAGCCTTCTAACTCGAACAACATTCCACAAATCAAGTTTAATTGTTGAGATTCTTCAGCAGATATATCATACAAGTCTTCTACGTCATCAATCATTTGTTTTATAACGGAATCTACCAATAAGCCTAACGCTTTATATCGTAAGGCAGGAGAAAGAACTGCCTAAAAATTACATTTAGCCATTTAAAAACGGTAGAGAACATATTGTTTTTCTTCGAGAAATAATTTCCGTACCTTTAATACTTTATTTAATTGCGTCAATGTATGTACAATTTGTTTCATAACACGATGACAAGCGTCAAATCGGTCTTCACGCGCCATTGAATGAAGACCCCCCATTTCATCAAGAAAGTCTTTAAGCAGAGATTTTTGTGTTTCCTATTTAAATTAGAATTTGTTCAGACACACAAAAATAAATCCAAAGATTTATAATTAATAATACATTACTATTTGTATATCAAACCATCTTTGTCCTAACTCGCGCAATTGATTAGCCATATCTTCATAATAAACATTCTGTCCTGTCCATTGATCGGTAGTTGCACTATTAACTTCGTCTATGTTTTCAGTGTCAAATCCCCAGCCGTCTTCTTCAATACCATTCCCTAAATTCATTATAGCATTAGATGATATTGATTGCGAGCTTGAATATTGTCTTTGAATTTTTAATAGCTCGGATGCAAGCCATGTGCAATCATTATAAAACATCATTGCAAGAGCGGGAATATCAGTGAATTTGCTGGAGTGATAGACTGGCATTATTGCACGATATAAATCGAAAAGATCGAGTGTTGCATTGTAAAGCCGAATACCACTAACGTTACGAATTTTATCTCAATATATCGAGTAGTGTTAATTTTAAACTGAAGGTAAACTGAAAGCATGGCATACCTTTGCACATTTAATTTTCGTGCTTCATTCAAAATATCGATTGTAAGATCGATCAAAGCTTTTGACTTTGTGGTTATTTCATATCGTTCAGGCTCAGGTATACTAATTTCAGATTTTATATTCTGAATCGCCTCTTTACTTCTGCTTGTCCAATGATCTTCTCCCCAGTCTTCTTCCCACCCAAAATCCCATCCTTCATTATTTTCTGATTTGTGTTCTTTCTCCTTTTCTGTTAAAGTTGCCTCTGTAATCTTTGTCTCTTCTTGTATTCTAAGTTCCGCATTTTCCCTCACCTGTTCTACAACTTCGGCAATCACTACGCTTTCAAACTTCTCATCCATCATAATCTTTCTACCAAGCTCTAGTAATCGATCTCGCTTACGGATGGTAAAATGTATATCCACTTTGGCGACATATGCCCCTAAAGTACGTTCCTCTTCCTCCTCTTCACTACTTTGTAATTCTGGCATAAATTCCAATCGCCGCATTTCAGCTTCAAATCGTCGCGCTGATTGAGCTATCTTTTCAAATGATATTAATTCTGACGTCTCGATTGGTATCATGTGTGAAAGATATTCTTTTATAACAAGTTCCCGAAGATCTCGTGAAATAAAATTGCCAAACTTTGAAGCATATTGAACAGTTAGAGGTGAAGGATTCAGCGAATCATAAGACAAAGAAGGATTCGGACCTCCAAAAATGAAATTATAGATGAAATGAAAGATCGAGGTTAAAGAGGCAAACAACGGATCTAAAACCCAGGTATTTTAAAATAATTAGCAAGATGATAACGATAAATTATATAAAAAATATGATAATATTAAATGATTTTGTTTAGAAAATAACCATTCTTACCAACTGATTCCTCGCCATTATTCTTTGAGCCGACTATAAGTTTAGATATTATATCGTCTTCAATTTTTATTGATGCATGCCAGCTTTGACGATGTTTGAGTAACGGTATGACGAGGTAGTTCATTACATTTTTTTTTAGTCGAGATAGTTGCATATCAACAAGATTAACTTCCGTAAGTGAAACAAAGATTGATGATAAATGCGTGGCTGAGTCAGGATCTAATCAAATAAAAATAATTAAAATCAACATCAACTTTCATAATAAATTGAAAAATGTCACGTCTTGCCTGCAACTATAGTCGCCACTGTAAGAATACCCCCGCTCTCATTGTCTCCACCTATCCTTTCAAATATAATTGCTCTAGTTAAAAGATCATCAAGTGTTTGATCTAAAATATTTTTCATGCTCGCCAATTTCAACTAGTAAACATTTATGATTATCGAGATAAATTTGACTAATGTTAACCTTTGAAAAGATAAGGATAAAAATAATTTGTTCACTATTTTTCATTTTAAAAGAGAAAACTTTTCGAAAAATAAATACATTCTTTAAATATTATCCATAAAGCTACATTCTCAAATTTTTACACCCCACAAAAAATAACCTGCTATCATTATGAACATAGTTACATACCTTTAGTTTTTCAATGATGTATATTCTTCTATCAGTGATGATCGGTGATATCTCAAGCAAAGAATCCTAAGAGCAAAATTTTGATTGATAAAATAGTAAGATTATAACCTCGAATCAGTAACTTTTTCTTACCATTTCTCTCACTATTCCGGCAGCCTCTTCTATTCGTGCGTCATTTAAATATTCATCAAAGCGCTTGACGCATAGCTGCACCTTTTTGAAAAGAATTTATTTAAAGAAATAGCATAAAATAAATATTGTAAAGCTTGATAGAACATCATACTTCGCTTAAATAGTTTAACATTTCCATAACAGCACCATTATTCTGCACGTCCTGTTTCACGTCGTGATTCTCTTGCAATGATAGAAACAATTTTGGTTTGACTCCTTTCTGTGTTATGTGTAAAGTATGAGTTGAATCAAAGAAAAAAAAATTGAGAATAAATAAAAATAAAATTACCTCTGGATCATTAACTTCCTTAGAAACATTCTCGAATTCCGTAAACAAATTATTGATCCGTTCTCGCAATTCGTGGGAATTTTTATATAGGACGCTAAAGGAACCTTGGTTCGAATTAATTTTTTCTAAAACTTCTGTCTAGGGATATAATTGATTAAAAATTAGTAAGAAATAATAGATATTCAAGTTGGATTTTACTTTTTCGGACCTTAAAAGCTAATATTTTACTGTCAATTCTCTGTAGACATGACATTACGGAGGTTCTATCAGCAGGCGCAGAAGATAATAAAGTATTTTTATAGCTTCTTTCTTCTTCGTCTACCCAGTCAACATCAGCCTCAATGAGCTGTTGTTGGTCCTCTATTACAGAGGAAATAAAAGCATCAGGTAATGCTGTGGCCAATATTGGAATTGGTGGCATTTTTTTATTCTGTAATGGTAAGTCCGTAAGCTTTTTTATGTAGCGATATAATAAAGTTCTTTATCTTATGAAAGGAAAAACGTAGTAAAGGTAAAAACATATTTTGAGTCATTTCAAGTCATTTAAAGACAGTGGTGAATCAGGTGATCTTTCCGGGCCAGTGCCGGATAATTCCTAATCTGCAGTAGAGATGTTAATCGGTCCATGAGAATTCGATCCAGGATGATCTTTTGAGAGGATGATTCCGGTCCGGTCCCCACTTTGAAAATCTCGATTTCACGATCCCTTCATCCTATATAATACTAATATTGAGTTATAAAATCATTCTAATAATATAGTAAGTTAATCTATAATTAAGAATTAATTCTTAAATAATTTTAAATAGTTTGAACAAAAATTTATTAGTAATTTAATTATATAAATATTTGAATAATATTTTTAAACTGATTTAGAAATCAATAATCTTCTTG